GATGTTGAGCCAAAGGCCATGAGAAACAACAGTTAGTACACCCTCATGTAGACTGAAAGGGTATCCACGGACAAAGTCTGTGCCTTCTTGGTAAGGATCATACAGAGTGTTGAAGAAAAAAAGAGTAGATGGGGAGAGAAGATTTTTTATGTGCTGCCCAGTGCATTGATCTGTTTGCTAGATGGATCCTTAGCAACCTGTGTATATCCAAGCACAAACACTGAAACACTTAGATAGCAAAAAAAGAAGAGAGAAAAAATAGAGAAAATTCAAGCATAAAGATCCTGTAATTGATCCCAAGCATCTAAAACATCCAAATTGTGCAATTTAGAGTGGAATTCCCTAAAGCATCAATCTCTGTGCACTTTTAGGTGGCTTTTTTTTTGGTACTGAACACTTTTAGGTGGCTTAAACTATAGGAATTGGTGCTTCATAATGATCCTCTCCACAAGTAGAGGACCCTCTTTTAAATACTCACAGCTGTACATTACATTATGGATCCAATAATGAATTTAAAATTGCATAACTAATGCTCTACAGCATCTGGAGAGGGGGAAAACGGTTCTTTCTAGAAGTGAAACCTCAAAACAGAAAAACAAATTAGTCTAGCCCAAAATGCAATTCAAATTGCTGTAGCCAAACCACTCAAAACACTCAAATCGACATCTTATCTTAAGACAACTACTATAGCCAAATGAATATAACACTTCACAAGGATGGTAGAAAAGACAGGAAATCTCTAATGAAAGAGTACAAATCTTGGAGAATAACAAATAAGCAAAACCCAGAGAAGTTAAATGAAATCCCACTCCACAAAAATCCATTGTCAGAAGTTCCCAAATATTCAAAAAGGATATATGCATGTATACATGAACAGATTATAAAAAACAATCTTGAATGACACTACAGATAATGACATTTTCGCTTCAAAGCAGTTAGCACTATGCAGTAACCTGATCTTTTCTATTTTACTCCAGAGAAGGTTGCCAATTATTTATTGGGAAAAGTACGGAGACACACGATGCAGAATTCTGAATTCCAGCCCCCCTACAACTAGCCCTGTGAATTTGGCATCAATTCACGGTCAGGATGCATTCCCCCTGTACTTTGGGCCTAGTAAATTCTGAACTGGGCTGATTTGTACTTCTCCCTTATTTATTTAGCTATTAGGGCAAGAGTTGAGGAAAGAAAGAAACTACTATTCACACAATAAATTGAAAAGAAAATATTTTCGTAAAATATTCATAATAAAAATTCAATCTTTCTGGTCACGACATCACATCAACAAGGTTGATTTTGGAAAGTGGATGAAAGGAACCTCATACCTAGTAATACAACAAAGAAAAATTAAGAGTTCAGCCCATAATCAAGCTATGACTAAANAAATCAAAATCTGGTCTTCACACTACAAGCAAGAGCATGTGAACTAAATCACATGAAAAAACCTACCCTTCCCAGAATTGACCAGAAAGAAAATCATCAAACGCCTAAAAGAAACCTTGAGCAGTGATCAAAAACGCGAAAGAGAAACCTCACTAAGGTTTCTCCACCTCGGCGTTCTTCCCCGTGGCGTCTCCATCTCTGGATTTAACAAAAACATCAATGATTCTTGGAGGTTCGGAAACTTTGGATACTCGTGGGATCAATTCAAAATCTGCTTCCTCTGGTGGTTTGCAAGTTAAGGTGAACGCCCAAGCTCCTCCTAAGATCAATGTGACCTCTGTTGGTCTAACTTCAATGGAATGCTTGAAGATTGAGGGTGATACACCGTCCTCGCCACCAAGGACATTTATTAATTAGTTACCTGATTGGAGCATGCTTTTTGCAGCCATCACGACAATCTTCTTGGCAGCTGAGAAGCAGTGGACGCTTCTTGATTGGAAGCCAAGACAACTCTTTCAGCTTAGTAAAGAAGAAGAAGATGGATAAAGTTCCTGTTTTTGCCACATGGAAGAGAAAAGAAGATGAAGAAATAAAAAGAAACGATTGGAAGCCAAGACTATCTGAGAGATCGAGACCCTGGAGGCTCTGACATTACTGCAAAGAATGGGGGATCAGCCCGGCGAGATTCATTGTAGGGAGGTCGAGTCGGATGAGACGATTCTCCCTCTCGTTCCAGCACGAGATGCCGACAAACTTGCAAAGGAAACCGACCGAGTTATTGGAAAAAATCCAAGAACTGAGCTTTCCTTGAGGATCACTGAGCGAGTTCTTGACGCCAGCAAGGCACTTCACATCGTCCTCTATAGACGTAGAGGCAAAAATCATGGCGGAGAGGAGGATAAGAAACAACTGGGATCGATCTCTCGATCTCACCATGGCGGCAACGAGTAGTCGAAGAACAGAAGTATGAGCAGCAAATTGACTTCAGTTCTGAAATTAGGAGAGAGAGAGAACGCGGGTGTGGACTGAGGAGGGAAGTGGAGAAATAGAGTGACACAAAGAAAGGTAGAGATGAGAGGGAGAGCGGGAAGACAGAGGGAAAAAGTGACACGCGTTATGCATGCAAAATGGAGGAGAGAGAAGTGACCCTAGACTTGTCTCTCATGCATTGTTCATACGTGCAATTCATTGACCTAATGCTAAGATTCCATTTGGCGAAAGGGGAGGCCACCCCTTTCGCTTTAATATATATATATATATAAGATGCGTAGGTTGGATGGAAGCTACTAGACAAGCAGTCTAGGGAAGGGGGGAGAGAGACAATTCAGGAATCTAACATGTGACAGTATTCCAAAGCCCGTGCCTCCAATCAGCAGGTGACATCCGTCCAGATGGTGCAGAGGGCTTACCTGATTGGAGAATGAGTGATGTACATATCAAGATGCTGTCAGCCAATCCGGGCTTCATCTGATTGGCCACTCCATTATTCCATGTGGTCCAAGATGGCCACAATTTTCAGTAGAATTCACCCCTCTTATTAACCACATGTTTCCAACAATTGTTGTCCATCGATATTTTGCAAAATCTGGTTAATGAAGTTTAATGATGTTACCTACTCCCAGCCTAGTCCAGAATTAACAAATGGCCTGTTGATAGAATGAGAGCTTCAATTCAAGCGGTTCAGCTCGGCCATGTGGCTATAAATTTGGCCAAATCAGTTATCAGATACATCCCCCAATCGCCACTTCTTTTGAGAAAGGCTAATTAGCTGGAACATAGAGCTGATTAGACCTGTTCATGGGCCGGGTTGGGCTGGGCTCGGACCGGGTTTTCACTCTGTATTAATAGATTTTTCTAAGGCTCGAGCTTGAGCCCGGCCCGATTATCGGGCCTACAATTTGGGCCCGAGATCGGCTCTCATAAAAAACCCGAAGCCCGGGCCTGGGCTCGAGGCCGAAATTTAGCCCATACTGTTACTACTGCTGAAGCGGCTGAATATATATGTATATATATATATAGAGAGAGAGAGAGAAATTATAAAGAAAAAAATAAAAAATGTATATATTAAATTATAAATATTATATTATTTATATATTTTATATAATATATAAAATACATATTATATATTTTATAAAATATATAATACTGAGTCAAGCCGGCCATTTTTAACAAATCCCAAACCCAGCCTGAAATACAGTCAAACTTACTATGTTAGGCCCGAATTCAGACCCATGAGCTTAATTACATGACCAAGCCCGACCAGAGTGTAGGCCTGGCCATCGGGCTACCCTGCCATCAACAGGTAGAGAGATGACAGAGGAGGAGACGACAAAGATGACAACACTCCCCCTTTTTTAGAAAGCCGATGACAACATTGTGTTGTATTAGTCTATTTGTCTGCTGTGGTTAGCGGAGCTAGCCTAACTTAAAAATCAACCGACTTACAAAGAGAAGACCGCGCCACCACATTTGGCCTCATTGTGGAGTCATTATCCAAGTACGGTTTGTGGGTGGTGGTGGTCCCTCATCCCAAGCAGTTGGTAAACGTTCATTATTGTCATTCAATCAAACATATCGTGATAGATACCACCGCACCAATCACGCATCTGCTGTCAGGTTCTGGACCATCACTACTCTCTCCCACGCTGTTCATGGATTTTATTTTATTTTTTAATCTATTTGTTTTGTTTGCGTCACCAAGAAAGAATAAAATAATTGTCGATTTAGGCAAAGTATCATATAGCAGGAGAGCTCCGTGTTGGCCAACTACGAAGAGAATAAAGAAGACACCGTGTCACTATAATACCTGAAAATGTCAAATTATGATTAAAAAAAGACATTGTTCATTGTCTTGAGACTGAATTGGTTATCTTCAAAGAAAAAGAGAGAAAAAAACATGAATTATGATCGAGGAAAACAATAGCTGAAAGCAAAGAAAAAGTTAAACAAGAATGTGTTTCTGATCTAAAGGTAGAAGACAATGACTTCATAGTCTAGAATCTCAAACACCTCAACTAATTCAGATCATTAGGTCAGCAACACAATCTCAATTTTTTTATCGTATCACACCCCATGTTAACTCTCGCACGTTGTGCCATACCAAATGAATGTAACCAAAAACTTGGGGGAGATACGACCAACTTAGCCGAATCCGGACTGAAAAAAGGGATAGGAGCAATGTGAGGTTGTTTAGTTAAAGAAGTCTAAAGTCTAAACGACTAAGGAAGCTGCTTCAACTGGCAATTTGAAATAGTGAGCTTTACTCAACCAAGAAGTCAGATAAGGCTCAAAGGAGAAGAGGGTGAAACTATAACCGTTGAGTTAACTTCTTTATTGACCATGGACATGGAGAATCTCATTACTCATACGCACTTCAGTCCTTGTCTGTTGAAAATCCAACAAGGAAGAAGCAGAGTGAGATAGAGGATGCCCCCAGAAATTTTACTCTGGTCATCAACAAAATTACATGAGATAGTCAACGTTAAAGCTTAAAGCCTAGAGACGGAAAGACTAGCAGACAGCTACCCTCCAAAGAATGCCAAGAGATATATGCGCACGCGGACAGTGATAATCTATTTATTAAAATTCAAGTCTAAAAGTCTATTGCAACAACAGTATACAGAACATAAAAATGTTGATATATTTCGAATTCTTCTTCTTTCTTCTCCTACAGAAGTTCTTCCCCATCTAAACCATTTGTTGCATTGAGATAGATACACATCTAACGGATTACAAACATGAATACACATACATACACTATATACATACATACTACATTCATAGGTCTCACAGCTGTATGTTCACTTCATTCATAAAAGCACTGTTTCCACGTCTATGGATACTTTCTTCGTGTAATATAGTTTCTGACAATTATCTTGATTACAATACAATAAACGATCATGGCAAGATCCATAGGCAGGAGGCTTCCTTCCGAATCACAAACTCCATATTTTACCCCATTGGATATGCAATGAATTACTACAAAACTGCACCACCTAGCTCATATACCTATACATACATACACAGTACAGAATCAGAAATAAAGGTAAAAACCCCAGAATACATTCAATTCAAACAAAAGAACCAAAGCATTACCTTTCATCAAGTTCCCTATCTAATGGACTAGCTATGGGTAGGATCAAAGGAAAGGCACCGGAAAAAAATATCCAGACTCTTGATCCTTCTCTTTCCAAAGTGACAACAGATATACGCTTCAAGAGTCACCATCTGCTGGTCTCCAAGAGGAGAGCGCATAAATGATCCGTCCTTTCCACCCCTGCAGGATCCATTGGCTGTCTTCATCAATCACAAAATCCTTGTGGTAGCTCGATTTCACCTTGTCCTTTGCTTTCTTCAAGATCTCCCGGTCCAATGGGAGCTGTTTGAACCCAGCTCTTGTAGTCCGGACCTGCCATTGTTTGTAAGTCTCTGGCCTCTCAACCCTCTCTGAGCCCTCACATGCTACGACATTCAGGGCCTCCCGTCCAAACATCTCTCTCTCAATCACTACCCTCTCTTCATTCTCTCGTGGAACATTTGTGTCAAGCATATCAAACAGAGAAGAGAAGTGGAAAAGAGCCTCCCGAAACCGTGTGACGAAGAAAGGGGCACTGTAAGCCCCATTCACAACGCCATGAACAAAAATGTCTGGGTTCATCTTCCTGATCAGATTCAGTATAGCATTCCTTGGACTCTCCACCACCACAGTTTCATCTAGCAGATTTCTGAACCGGAACAAACAATTGACAACAAGCATCTCATCTTTTTCAATCTTGAGATCCTCAATTTGAATGGTTTCCCACTTCTGTGCAATGGCATTATACTGAAAAGGAACACCAAACCTCTCAGCATAGTTTGCTAAGTGACGCCCTGTTTCTTCAACTCTCTCTGTTGGCCGGAAACCAGGTTGTGGAAGTTCTATCCCAGTTATTCGAAGATTGGGGGGTCCACCATGTCTGTTTGAGAGCTGGTGAATAAGACAAGGCCATTGGAAACCATAAAGGATACCAAAATCTATGATATGGAGCCTTGTTGCTTTCTCAGACAAATTCAAAATTGTCCTGTTTGAGAAGAAATTTGAGAGCTTTTTAAACGGGCATGCAGCAAGATATAGTTTATAAGCTTTCAAGATATCAGCTGCAGATGTTCTCTTGGTTGAGAAGGCTGTGTAAATCTGGCTCCCAGTGCCAGCCATGCGTGCCTCCAGGCCTTCAGCAAAATAATTGGCCAACCTCTGGTTTCCGTCCCCAGTTCGAGAAGAGTGCTGCCTTATTTGCTTCAACAGTTCGCATGCATTCTTTCGGTCATCCGCAGCAACAAATTGTGCACAGTGAATAAGTAGTGTCCTCAAATCCACCGTTTCCTTCTTACCAGCTTGTTTCTTACCACGGGATTTTCCACTGTTAGATACTTTAGAATGCCCATTCTGATGTAGATTCCGGTTTGCCTCATTCTGCAAGGCTTCTTCTTGCAAAGTAGGCATAGGAGCCCCAGCTCTCCCTCCACTACAGAGAAGTACCCTATCAAACTCTTCTGATCGTACAGTTTCTTCAGTATAAACTGCCGACTGCTTGTTACTCCTCCTTTCCTCTAAATCTGTATCCTCTGGGTGTGGATTTTTCTTTCCCCTCAACCCATTAGGTGAATTCTCCCTCTCATCCTTCTGTTCAATCTTTACCAGAACCTCAGCATCTTCCTTTGGTTCCCTAGGAAAACTAGCATAGTTGTCAAGATCAATTATCAGACTATTATCATTAGGAAGGAACTTGCTAGCTTCCTCAACTCCTCTCCTGAATTGCCAAACAGACTCATTTTCGCTAATTATATCAGGCACCTGAACCACACTTACCGGGGACTCTAACAAACCATCTAAAACACTAGCCCCACTGCTTGAAGAGCTGAAAGATGAAGGGGAAGTTGACTGAGAGGTACAGCCAGGAAGAAGAATCCCTGTCCAAGTGGTCCTGCAGTCGCTGAGATCAGAAATCCATCTTGTATCAGCTGTGTTGTTGTTGCAACTAATACAGCAACTGCTACTACTGTAATTAATAAAATTTGCAGTTAAGGGATCATCTGAGCTTTCTGAGTTGTGACCAACATAAAGAGGGGTCTGAATGGGGGAAGGGGGATATTTCTCTCCAAGGATCTCATAAAAGGGTTTCTCAGCGGCTTGAAGAGCCGAAGACTCCTGGAACATGCAGGCCTTATCCTCCATGTCTTCTTCCATGAGCATTTGGCTTATGTACTTGAGCACTACATCCGAGAAATCCAAGTCTTCATGAGAATCTTCCTCGGGGATCAGGGTCGAAGCGGGAGCGAGATTATTAGAGTCGGGATCAGGTTGAAGAAGAGGGAGAGCCATGAAGGTAGGATCTACAGTGGTCTCATCGAGCTTGAGCCTGTTGGCAATAGTCTGATACGAAACGGGATCATCATTGAATGTTAATCCGTTCATAGAACCAGATAATATTCTGAGACGTGGATCCATGACCATCTAGTCCAAAGGACCACTTATACAGTGGACGTGGAGAGTCTCCGATCCAGCCCTAACGGATAATTAACTAATATATAGTTTCTTCGAAACAAGATGGATTTGCAAGTTTTTACAGACCAAGAACTTCATCACGTACCGGCTCCTCCTCTCTGCGTAATTATTCAAATACATATATTTTTAAATCCTAAAATATCTGAAATCTTCAAAGCTGAATCAACAAGTACAATAAAGTGCTAAAATCTACGCATATTTGCCGAATAGATGCAAAAGCCTGAGGGAAGAACCGAATCAAATCGACATGAAGTACAAGAGAAATGAAAGATTCTTAAACGTCAAAGAACCCGTGTGAACATCATGTAGAAATAATTAGCCATCGATCTCAGAGAAAAAATCGAATAGCAGAACAATTAATGACCGGGAAGAAGAAAAAAGAGAAAAGTAAAAAGCGAAGACGAATCGTACCTTTGCAAATCGAACCCTAGCACTATGCCACTATCCAAATAGGGAGAGAGGGATAGAGAAAAAAAAATAATACCGAGACTGGAGAATGGAGATAGTCTTCAGATGCCTCGCTCCTCTCTTAAAAAGGAGTAGAAAAGCCTCCCTTACAGTGATTAACCTGTAAAGAATGACCAAGTGGCTCTATACCATCCGTCGGATCTTTTGTTTCAAAACATTAGCTTACCAGCCATAATCTTTAATTGCGATGATTCCATCCCCTGGTTGGTCCATAATTCCATATAATTTATAAAAGATATAAGTTGTTAATTTACTTTTATTATAATTGTTCATCACTAAAAATAAAAAATAAAAGAAAACAATTGCTAATGAACTATTTTATTTCATCGTTACTATGTTAGTTCCAACGTGTTGCTTTAGCATTATAATAAAATCTCAGCAACCGAGAGGTGGTTTAGTTGGTATATTAGCTGGTTTGTTTTAATATCGAATCTTATTACTATCAAATTTGGGAAGAGATTAAATGTGGTGCTATGCTACTCATTACTCAAACGGCCCCTATGAGGATTTGGGTGTATCATTAAATACCAAAAATGAAAAAAAAAAAGTTAAATATAACAAATGCCTTAGAACTGAGCCCAAAAAGGAGGCCCTAGTGGCTCTTTGGTGCCACCGTGCCAGCCAGAGTGGACAGGGCGTCAATGACCATGTGGTCTAGGTAAATAATTGGCATTACAGATGCAACTTGAATCGGGTTGGTTTGAGAATTTATTAAACCCTAATCCGGATCCAATGTAATTGAAAATGTTCAAATTTAGCATTTCAACTTGCAGTCCTAGTGGACATCCCTCCAACTGGGGTGGTGTTTACCGATATATATTATTTTGTTTTTGGAAACAAAGTAACTGATTTCATTTCATGACAAAACTTAGATGATAATGTTTTAGCTGCAACATATATAGCATACATAGGACTGATGGGAGTGATGAGGAACTTCAAAAAAAACATGCTTTTTAATGGTGTCTACGGATTATTAATTGCTTCCTGATTTGCAAATTATAACCAATAAAAGTATTCAGATTATATGTGTAGAAGTGATTGCAACCCTGGATTTGATGAATAAAACCAACCTTAGGGATGAACAAAATGAATTTCCTTATGTATGGTGGTATGGAAAATGGTGCCTATATAATTAAGTTGGGTTGAAATTTTGTTAAATTTTAGGGGGCACAAACCTTAGCCCAGGAAGAAATTTTGTTAAAGCTTTTGTTCTTTTACAAATATTTCTGATTTGGGGCCTGCTTTTTGGTTGCATTAAGCCTGGCATTTACAACCCAACAAACTGAGCATTAACCTTCCAATAAGCAAAAGGGCAAGTAAAATAGAAATGAAGTTCAAGTTAAATAAATATAAAATATGAGGCATATAATCCATTAATAAGAGTCGAATGAGTGAGATAAGTACTCCAAATTAAAAAAAAAAAAGATTTTGTTATGTATAATTGGAATTAGACCTGTTCATAGGTCGGATTCCAAAGGCCGAACCCAAAACATCATCATCCTACTTCATTAAAAATGTGATTAGAAGGGCTAGAGGAATTAAGGGCAAACCAAAAAGAATTAGGATGGAAGTACCAAGGAATACTTTAAAGTGCTCGTAACTTAATGACTGACATGATATTGAACAAAAGGGAATGATGCAACAAGGATTATTTAGAAAATATAAGATATATTGAAATACAAAATGTCAGCTATCGAAGGATTCCATTTTTATTGCGCATCATGTCCTCAAAATAGTAATTATAATGCTATCTTCCAGTGGTCACACTGTGGGATGGTAATTGAGAGTTCATTTTTGTTATTTTCTCTACTTTTTCTTTGTTTGCTTTTCTCCTCGACTGAAAAGCCTTGGCCCTTATGCTTGTAGCAACTAGCTGATTTCTTGATTCCATGGTGCTTCATTATAGAACAATCTGCTGTCTAAAAGACTGCATGGTCTTCGAAATTTTGTCATTTATCAGAGGAAAAATCTATGGTGCCTGAAAGACATGATATCAAAAAGCCTTTGATCAATCAAAACCCCTGGTGAATTTTGTTGAAATTCCATTTGATTCGTTACTTCTTTTATGATGCCGGAACATATTGACACAAGTAGTCCATCGCCAAATTACACTGATTGGTAGTAATTCTCACACAATTTCATAGGTATTTCGAACCATTGGATTTGTTTGAACAGAGAAACCGTGATAATATAACCTTTTGGCTTTTGAATCAAATGTGTTGGTTGGTCTGTTGGGAAGGCCAAGATTTAAAGTAGTAATATACTCAATATGCACGAATGGGCATTTCAGGTGTTTCAATACAACAAAACACTTTTTTTTTTTTTTCTTTTTCTTTTTCAAAATTGGTCAGGGGTCACTCTTAGGCCTGCCTACCCCTTGAAAATGCCTAAATTCCCAAACTTTTATTTCCTTTCCTGCATTATAATCCCACTAATGTGATACGTTATACATAACACAGGGCGCATTGTATCGAAATTTTGAACTCCCCTCACCCCTCAATGGTCACGATGATGTTGAGAGAATTTTATCTCTCAACAAAACACGACCTTAATGTAAATGGAGCTCTATGTGAATTATCTTTGGCCTTGTATTTACATTGACATTCTTTGAAGAAAATATTCTGAACTACATATTTAAAACAATATATAATTTAGATTTTCAAAGTATGGGACCAAAAACTTGGAAACTTATAAATTCGTATTTTGAATGTGCCAAATAATAAGGGCCATTATTCCCCACTTCAATTAACCCCTTGAGTGAAATTCAAGAGAATGTCGTTGTGTTGGTATTTCAACATATTGAATATTTAGGCTGCATTTGGAAATGATGCAAATAAGTGTGAATGTAAATATGTAGAGTGTAAAACGGTCCATATAAATTACAAATTTTGGTTAATTTTGCACTGACAAATTTATCTTCTTACCAAACAGATTTTTAGCTGTAATGGATACAAATACGAATTCCAATAAAATCTATGCATTTTTTTATCAAAAGCCCACTTGAATGCAAATTTACTTTTTTTATTGATGTACTTTTACATCTTATTTTATCAATATAAATATGCATTGGTCTATCATTTGTCAACGCATAAATGTAATATTTCCAAACACATACAAAATTGAACCAAAGTGCAAATTTACCCTGAACCGGGATTTACACTCTATTTGCCTCATTTCCAAATGCAGCCTTATGCAAAAAAAAAATATGCTATTGTGTGGCTAATTATTACAAAGCAATGACGAATAAGCATGATTGTGCCAAAACATACTGTGGTTTAATTGATAATTCGACTCTGGGACAATTCACTTCATATATTATGAAGATGCCCTCCTTTAGAATCTAATTCCAATTCAAGAAGTTCATATACAGTTTAGGATTTAGTAAATATATTGTTAATTATAAATATTAGTACATTTTTATATTATAATTAAAATAAATATTCCATGTATTGACATTGTCTTTTGAAAAATCCTACCACATACCATTGCATATTTTAAAAGATAGCATCTTCCCATTTTGGAAGTTGACTAGTAAAAGTGAAATTAAATCCAAAATGTTGTCCTAAACCTACACCAAACGATGGTCCAGGCCCACCACTACCAACCAACTGATCAAAGAGTTTAGATCTCTGAAACTTGTCATCTGTTCCATTTGAGATTTGCGAGTGCCAAGCAAAAGTTTCTCACAACTTTTTACATATACTTCAGGCTTTGTTTGGTTTGAAGGAAAATGTAGAAAACTCTTTACAAAACTTATATAAATTTCCTTATGTTTTCCTTCTTTTCCCTAGTTTTTTCTTCAAACCAAGCATAGCCTTTAACCTTCGACTGTCTTCTCATCTAGATTCTGTCAGTCTGGCTCAGCCAGGCTGTGAAATTCTCTTTTTAATCAGTGGGGAGCCTGTGGCACCATGTGCGTGGAGACTATAATACACTACAATAAATACAATAGGTTGCAACTTTTCCCTTCCCTCGCCCCCTGGGCCTTGGGCCCTGGCCCCTGCTATTCAATTTCAATAATCTCAGAAGTCAGAAAGGTAGTGGCTTTCTGCTTTGACAGAGTAATTTTGATCACCTACTAGAAAACTCGGATGTTGGACCAATTCTCGTGGGCCAAAGGACTGGATCCATGGAAAGCGAAATATGAATGATTTGCGTCCGGACTCCGAAGCCCACGTGGAAGTGGGAACCATCATCCATCTACTTTCCCGAGCACCTGTGGTGGACCCCTCGCCCCCATTGAATTTAATGATATCGTCCACCAGATCGTGAAACTAAAGGCTGAGATTCAATGGATAGTATATGAAGTGTCATGAGATGAGAGTTACAGAGCGCGCCTCACAATGACTTCATTGAAAACGGTATGAAGCGTGCACTGTGAGGAGCGAGGAGCAGATCCGAACTCCTTTTTCTCATATGAATAGCCCAGCGGCCTTTCGGAAATCATTCTCTGGCGGTCTATCTAATTGTCAATGTCATCCTTGCCATGAAGAAAAAAAGGTTTCGGAATCTATTTTTGTCATTTTATTATGATGTTTGTTCTTTCATAATTTTGTTATTCAACAACTCTATCGCCCACAACGCAAGCATCCAAGAAAGGACGAGGAGAGAGAGAGAGAGCGCGCCAGCTAAAGGCTAAAGTCTTGAAAGATGAAATTGAACATGGGATGTAGTCTAGGAGTTTCATCCTCCTTGATAAAGCTTTTATCAATCTTGACCACCCTTTATTTCTCATTCACACGCTCTGTGTGATGTGATTTCTGATTTGGTTTGGATAAACATTGTTCATATAATTAAAAATATTTATGTTTCTCATTTTAGGTAAGGCTGTTCATAGATCGGGTTGGGTCGGTTTATTGAGATTTTTTCAATCGATTGGGTTATTTAAAATTGAAATTGAAACTAATCCTGTGTTAAGCAAAACCGACCTAATCGGTTTGAGTCGGGTTGGATTGGTTTCGACTCTAAGTTCAATTATGTTTGAGAGTCAAATTGTATTAGAGATTGTGCTTGAGTTGAGGGGCTAAGGGGGGCGGACCAAGTTAGAATAGA